CCCCCAGGTGCTCTGTCCTAGGGAAATGAGGGTTTTATTTATAAGCCCCTGATTGGGGCACTGGCCTTTTTTTCAGAGATGCCCAGAGAGTAGGAATCTAGAGAGGTAGTCTGGCTGCAGTGGCTTTGTGGAGTTGAGGTGGGCTCCACCTACTTCGAACTTTCCATTGACTTTGTTTACACTGTGAGGTTAAAACCACCTACTCAAGCCTCAGCAATGGTGGACACCCCTCCTTCCACCAAGCTCAGTGTCCCAGGTAGACCTCAGACTGTTGTGCTGGCAGTGAGCATTTCAAGCCCGTGAATCTTAGCTTGCTGGGCTCCATTGGGGTGGAACTTGCCTAGCCAGACCACCTGGCTCCCTGGCTTCAGCCCCCTTTCCAGGGGAGTGAACAGTTGTGTCTTGTTGGCATTCCAGGTGCCACTGGGGTATGAAAAAAAAAAACAAAAAACAAAAAACTCCTGCAGCTAGCTTGGTGTCTGCCCAAACAGCTCCCTAGTTTTGTGCTTGAAACCCATGGCCCTGGTGGTAAAGGCACCAGAGGGAATCTCCTGGTCTGCCAGTTGCAAAGACCATGGGAATAGCATAGTATCTGGGCTGGAGTAAGCCATTCCTCCCGATACAGTCTCTCACAGCTTCCTGTGGCTAGAGGAGGGAAATTCCCTGACCTCTTGGGCTTCCTGCATGAGGCAATGCCCAGCCCTGCTTTGGCTTGCCCTCTTTGGACTGCATCCACTGTCCAACCACTCCACATGAGATGAACCGAGAACCTCAGTTGGAAATGGAGAAATCACCTGTCTTCTGCGTTGATCTCGCTGGGAGCTACAGACCAGAGCTGTTCCAATTCGGCCATTTTGCCAGCAAATCTGACTTCATGTTCTTTAACTGACAACACTTTAAAGATTTCTTGTAAAAACTACTATCTTCAACCAAATGCTTATCTGTAAGATTTTTATCATTTAGCAAAAATGGTGAAATATTAGATTGCAAATAGACAAGCATTTTGTAACCTTCTTTATCTTCTTATAACAAAGCAAAGCCAAGTCACAAGAACCAAGAGATCTGTGACTTTTTTAGAGAAAAGCTTCAATAGACAATAATAAAGTCATGTAGATGTGAACAGCCTAAAAAGATTACTCATACAGAATAAATATTAATTTGACTGGTAGGTATACAGAGTATGTTATGTTCTAATTCATAATACATAGGAATAAAAATGCAAGGCAATATATTAAAATAAACTCTTTCCATTTTTTTCCAACACATAAACTAAAATTTAAAAGTATCTAAAAACTACACAGAAGTATAAGAAGACCACTGTGGACTAAATATTCTTTCCTTATGTGTTCGTGTGTGCAAGAAAGCAGTTAAAAATTATTACTTGGCTGGGTGCTGTGGCTCACGCCTGTAATCCCAACACTTTGGGAGGCCGAGGTGGGGGGATCACAAAGTCAGGAGATCGAGACCATCCTGGCCAACATGATGAAACCCCGTCTCTATTAAAAATACAAAAATTAGCCAGGCATGGTGATGCATGCCTATAATCCTAGCTACTTGAGAGGCTGAGGCAGGAGAATCATTTCAACCAGGCAGTCAGAGGTTGCAGTGAGCTGAGATTGCACCACTGCACTCCAGCCTGGAACAGAGCGAGACTCCATCTAAAAAAAAAAAAATCATTACTCAAGTATGTAGGGGTGAGTGTTTTATAGCATAATCCAGCAACATATGCTATCAAAAATATATAATATAAAATAGCTTAACTACTGACTGCTAAAAAAAAGTCTTGAAAGTAACGACAGCAAGAAAGCTGGGAGGATGGACTAAAATGGTCCTTTTAATCTGTTGTTCATATATTTATTCTTTGCGGGCTTCCATAGAGTTAGATGGAGAGAAGATATGAAAGCCTTCTGGCTAATCTGAACACCATAGGTAGTCAGTCCACATAATTCATGTCCAAATACGAAGAATTTTGGGGGTCCAAATGTCCCAATTTGGACTGTTATACAAGACAAATTACTTGTCCTTGCAAATATCTGCTTCAATATGTGATACATAACCAGAATTCAGGGAAAATATGGTAGCATTTCTAGGTAAAAACCTGAAGTAGGGGAATAATAAAATATTAATATAAGGCTAATGATTTCAAGTTGCAAAACCAAGTGTATACACTAGAAGCCATGATGGGAATAATAACATAAAATATAAAATAGAGACAATAACAGTTGCATGCTTTTGTTTCTTTCAGATGTTGCAATAATATGAAAGACACTCTATTTTAATAGCTTTCCAAAAAATTCATTTTACATGGTAGTCTTGATTTTAAAGCTCATGAAATATTGTTTCTGTAGTACATTTTTCAAATAAGAACAACTTCAAAATTAATTGAGTACCAGAAATATTAGTATATAGGCTGCCTAGGGATAAAATATATAATAAAGCAAAGAGTAAGGTTAAGAGTATATGCAAAAAATTCATACTTTTGAGGCTCCAACACTAAGCTCTCAGCTGTGAATTAATGATTAGTAATTTCAATTACAAAGACAATGTGTCACTGAAAGCTAATTTTAATTAGCTTTTACTATTGTATGTGTACTTTTCTTCTATCCTAATAATATGATTTAATTTTGCCTAGTTTATATGTTACTGAATACATCTAATTTTCCTTTAAAAATACTCAGTGGCCTAACATCAAATAAAGTCTTTTAATTGCAAGTTATAAACTTCAAGCACAATAAGTAATATAATTGTTTTTCACTTGCCCACCATTATTTACAACTTGACATGTTTTCCTGAAGTATAATTATAAAGGTAAGGATATAACATTCTAAAATAATGCAATTAATAGTAAGGATGCCTTAATTAACTAAACTGATTTTTCTTCAAAGACTATATGTAAATAAACATTGTAAACATGTAGCCTAATTTCCCATTGATTTATACAATTAATAAATAAAAGAAGTTATCCTCCAGGAAAAGAAATGACCAAAAATACAATAGAAGAAAAAATCCAATTTTGTTACAAAGAGGTCATTGCACATTCTAAAACTTGTTTAAATATAGCCTACATTTTTGTTGGTCCTGTTTTTGTATCTTAGCTTGTATCTTGTTAGTTTCTGTAAAAACAAACCCTAAAGCTTGATAATGTGGCAAGCTTCTCCCCTCTCTCCGGCTGCCACTCTTAATAGGCTCCGACTAAAGGTTGGCCAGTGCTAGTGGCGGCAATGAGATGTTCTCACCACAGGCTCTAGCCATATGCGACTGGTCACCTTGATGGGCATGGCACAGTGACCAGATAGCCCTGCCAGTGAAAGCTTGGGTAATGCATGATAAATTTGTTTTCAATTTTATGTAGTTGGTAATAAATATACATCTGCATAATAAACGGTGAAGTATGTCAGAGACAGAGTAGCTACAACAAAAGAAAGCATTAAGTGATATCAAATTAAAATGTTCAGAGCTGCTATTCTTCATTTTCCCATGAAACTCTCTATTGTTTCTTCTAAAGGCTTAGCCTTTCTATAGATGGAAAAGGTAAGTCCTTCATGGGGTGTTATTTAAAGGGCAGTTACCCATAATACTTCCCTCACAGTTTTCCAGAGAATTACCATTTTCCATCTGCCATGAAACGCCCACTATTAGATTGATGCTTTTGGGGTGGTAAGAAAGATGGTGCTGTGCATGTGGGAAGGGGATGAGCCTATTCTATTCATAAAATGAAGTGAATTAGCCAGTTTATACCATGGAAGGATCATCCGTGGGATGAGGACACCATTAGGTGCTGAAGACATATGTCCATATTTTTATAGTTTTATGTTATTAAAGGTGAAAGGAACAAATGTGTTCAGCAGCAACACTTAAAATGCTAGCATCAAATGTACTATTATGTATAAAAGGATTTGAGTAGGTTTATGTTTGGTATGACTAATTGTTTCATCACACTCAGAAGCAAGAATATTATGAAAAAGGATCCTCCATGCACTTTGCTGAAGAAACTCATTAAAAGTTGGAAAAACCCATAATTACTACTTAAGCAAGCCCACTATATTCTCAGCGGCCTCTGAAGGTTGGTGCTATGGACTTAATCTGTGCCTCACTGTCCAAAAAGGGATTCTCAATTACTTACAGTTATAAAAACATTTTGTGGGCACATATAAAAAGGTTTTCTAGTTATTTCTACAATATCTATATAGAAATGCTTTGTACATTTTCAGTAACCCTAAAGCTGATTGTATTCTGCTTTTAGAATAATTTTTTCCAGAAAGCATGAATGACCATCATTATAAATAAAGCTGAAGAAATTCCACAAATAAATGCACTTCATATGGGGAAAATGTTATCAATGTACTAGGTTTTAAACAAATATTTCTAAACTATATTCAGTTTGATTTGACATATTTTTAAACTTTTTATGAATTTACTAATTTATAGGATATATTTGTATTCTAAATAATTCCAAACAGCTTCCTGTAAGGCAAGTCCCAGCACTAATCTATGACTCATTATCTCAACTTTAATTGGCACAACTCTTCAAATTCAGGGACCGTATGGAAAATAATGAGTCCTAATAGGTCTAAGGTGAAAAGATGGCAGGGGAGTAAGGAAGCCAGAAAACGATCAATTCAGAAAGCTTAGCAACACAATTTCCCCAGAGATCCAGAACAATGTGTTCTCAATGTTTTACTGGTCTTGCTATCATATCTCTAAACTGCATATCATTTTTCATTCTGTGAGACAAAGATTAAAGTGAAAAAACAGAAAGAAACCAAAAACTGGTTTCTATAATTAAAAATGAAATCGGCTGACTGTTAATTAAAAAAAAAAAAGACGGTAGTTTAAAGTTACCATAACAACCTAATGCAACTGTTGACTGACATGGCAATCTGTTGCATTTTTATAAATAGCAGTTGATTTTCCCTCTTTCATTTCAACTTGTTTTAGTGCTTATTGGAGCTAATGGAACAACTGTGCTTCAAGACTACTTCACTTATCAAGGAGTGTACCTTTTCACTGCTGTCACCACCGTAAAAATCATCCTCTGATTGGGCGTCTCTGCTTGTCACACTGTTATCCTCTTTTAGATCCAAAATAAATGAGAGCTCCTCTGGGGACATAGTCTGAGTCTTTCCATGAGGTGCCGATCGTGGTCTTGATGAAAAAGTGAAAATGTCCTTTGGAACACTCTGAGATTCCTCTGCCTGCTGGTCATGTTCACTGTCCTTGCTGGCTTCCAGACACAGATGTGACGGATTGGAGGAGTCATCATCCAGAAGTAGAGACTGTCTGCTAGATGCCAGATATGAAATGTGATCAGCATTTTCAGGAAAGATCCACTCATCTGATAGTTGGAAAAGATGACAAAAATTAGAGTAGTGCTCCATAAAAGTGTTATTTCAGGCAGGTAGTTAGGCTAAAATTTCTTGTTGTCAGAACAGATTTATCAAATAATGCAAAAGCCAAGGAAGGCAATTAATCCACCATCTTGTAACCTGCTAAACATTCTACCCATATATCAGTGCCTTTAGCTACGGGCAACTCATTTGCACTTCCTCTCCATATGAGTTAAAACACTGACCAGGAATTTTATAAGTCTGAAATAATTATCACCTGTCTTGCAGCAAGTTCTTTATAGGACAACCTTATTAATTTGACATTCCAGAGGGGGAAAGTCTTCCAAATTTAAAAGGAGTTGAGTTATTAATATCTCCTTTTAACTGCAGGAGGACAGACTACTTAACCAGCTTCTTTAAACAAAATATCTGATCTTTATTCAGATTACAAATCATGGAGGAGAGGAAACCATGAAAAGGTTGGCAGTCATTTCCTCTCCATTCCACTGATTCAAACAGAACAATTCACAGGCTAAACCGAGTAGACTTTTCAAGTAATAGTAAATACACAGACATATTTGCCAATCCGAGCAGTGGATTCTGCTAGGTGAAAAAGGCCTTTATGTTTAAGTTTATAAGAGAGAATGCTTTGATATGAAAAATCTTTTAGCATATAACTTTTTTCTTTAAAATACTGTACACTGCTACTGGGAAATATAGATTTTTATAAAAACTTTTAAAGACTTCAATCTTTTATACTACATTGAGATAGAGTTTATAGCTCTATGATCCTGACAAATCGAAAAGGACAGATCTTGATAGTGATATCATTAAAAGCATGCTTTCTTCTTTAGAATGACAGTAGGAAAAAGTTGAGCATTTTCTCAATGTAGTCTATTTTTCTTGAAGTTTGCTTTTTTTTTTTTTTTTTTTTTTAGTTTATTTCATTGGTAAATCCTGCAGAACCACAGTGCAGTCATGGTAATTTTACACCTGCTTCTTGAACTGTATTATATTTATGATCACAATAAAAGTAGCCAAAAGAGATTTGGAACCCTAAAGCCCATGTTGCAAAAGCAAAAGAACCCACAAAAATCTGTAATAAAATAACTTTGATGGTACAACTAAAACACAATTGTATCTATCTGTTTTGTAACTTAAGGCTACCATTACATAACATAGCTTGCCTGTAAAAAAGGTGATCAATGCATACTTTTTAGACAAAATCTACTAGGGACAAGGCTTCCATATACTGAGGGACATGAGTCTACAGGCATATGGCCAATGGCAGGCTGAGTGTAGTTCTTCTGCCCACCTTCACAGATGGGTGCAGGGGCATACGGTCCTGGGTCATTGTAGCTGTGGGCCAGTGAACTAAATTGATTCACTGGGCTCCCCTATTTTGGACAGCAAACTCTTTTGCATGGTGCTGGGTACATGGCAGGTCCTTTGCAAGCAAATTAGGTGCTTTACAAGAGCTGAAAAATGTTACAAAAGCCAATAGGTTGCATTATGTATATGGACATGTGAAGGAAACGGAGGAAAAGATACTAGGAATTTTCATTATGCACTTATAAACAATTTGTATGACCTATTACCAAACATATTATAAACTGTCAAAAAGTCAAAGTAAAAAGGGTGTTTTACACCAAACTAACTCTAATTATCTCACTGCCACATGCTTTTTATGGAATTTGCAGTTTTACCTCAAGTATTTCCATATCAATTGTAATGAATAATTTGGTATGTTTTCTTAGAAAAATATGTAAATTACTGTGTAATCACAATATTGCAGCAAACAAGATAAATGCAAGAATGATCACCTAAACATCTAATTAGTTTTTCTACACAGTCAGATTTATGCTAGAGACACTAATTGCGCCTAACATTTTAATGAAGGTTTCAATATTGCATAAATAAGACTGACAAACCACAAACAATTTTCATTTATTTTCTTTTTCCCCTTGCTCAAACACAATTTGCCTTTGTAAAAGTAGCACACACCTGCTAGGTAAGATATGTTGCTGGGCTTAATGCTCTCAGCTCCAACCATCTCTATTATAAAGAGGACTGGAGAAATGCAACAATTGATCATCTTTGGGGAGGGTGACAGTGTCATGGGAAAACGTCAGTTTTAAACTTTTGTTGAGAAAAGGATGACCATTAAAACTTGAAAATAAAAAAATACTCTTTCATCCATTAAGGTTTGACATAAAATTGAGGTTAAATAAGGAGATTTACAAAAACTTACACATTTTAGCAAATTGGCTGCATCACCACTTTTCAAAATGACTGGATTTGAAATATTTGCCATATTTATATTTTATTAATTATTACCAGATACGGTGTAATGAAGATGCCAACCTGATTGATCAGGAGACTGGGGTCCTAGAGTGATGGAGTTCAACAGCTCTGCTCCTTGTTGGGACACAGTAGTGAGGACAGTTGATGCTTTATCTTCATTCCTACTATTTCCTGAAGAGCTGCCTTTAGTGAAATAAATATTTTCCATATTATTACTTCTTTTGAAATTTATAAAAAGTAAATTTTGAATAACAGTTTACTTTGGTATACTTTACTATTTGATTAAAAGCAAATTAGAAGTAACAATATGAATTGAATGCAGTTTTTTTTTCAGTAGACTGTTTTAAGCTGCATTTTTATAGAGGTTCACCTTAAAATTCTTTGATATTTGCACAGGGATATTTTCGATTTAAGTTTTACAATATGTGATAAAAAAATGCCAAAACCCATAAAATTTTTAAAGGATCTTATATTTTTTTCCTTGGGTTCCACATAAAGTGAAGTTGAGTTTTCTTTAAATTATAATTCTTAATAAATGAGACTCTTTTTGACCAAGCTTTTTTCAGCAGCATGTTAAGAAAATGGATCTTAAGGCATTATTGCAAAATTAATTTTCTATCTATTTTTTTTATGAAAAGCATGAAACCTAGCAGGCTAAAATTCAGCCAACCCAGGAATCTTATATTTTTGAGAAATTATGCTAACAGATGTGTACATAAAACCCTGGGTGGGATCCAGGATAGACTGATATATACTAATCTATATATTCATGCCTCAAATACAATATTTAAGGGGAGTAACTATGATGGTCACATGTTTGTCTAGTGCTTTACTGGCTGCAAAGAGTTCAAATTTTAACCTACAATATATCATATGGTGAAGAATCCAAAGGGAGAGACAGCAAGTGTAAACAACAATCTGAAAAGAGCCCAGTTTAAAAAGACACAAATGAAACAAAAAAATTACAATAAAGTTCAATTTTAGTAAAGTCTACTAGTGGGAACTTCTATCACGTTTGGGCCATTTTTTCAAAAACAATAATTTAAGCTTATTTAGTCTTTGAGAGTAAAAGTAGGAATTCCTTTATTTCTGTGGTACCGTCTATGTCTATTTAATCCAGCAAATCTCCGTTAGAGCTCTAAAGCAATTCTTTTGCAGAAAATTTGATTTCCATAATCCTTGTAGAACAGACATTTATATTTTAAATGGATTGGTTCATAATCCTTTGAAATTTACAACCTGCAGAGACAGATTCCATTGCCCTGAATAATATACAGTTATAAGATAGGATTGAAATAGTGCCATACCGCTGGGTGTCTCTGTCCTTTCTCTGCTGGTGCTTTTTAACCATAATCTTCTTCTGTTATTATTCTTATCTGCTGATGGTTCTTGAGGGGGATGCGGATGCATAATATGTAGATTGGCTGCTACATTTTCATATCAAAGAACAAAAGCCAGAACAGAAAGTGCTACATGGCTTGAAGTAACTTAGTAAATACAATTATCAGGAGAATGAGAATATTCATGTATAATTCTGACATAACGTGAAGACACAAAGTATATCAAAAATACAACTTCATAGAAAATAGGTATTTATTCCTATTCCAATATTGGGATCCTATCAGGCTTTCAAAGTTATTGACATACTCTATTCATGTAGTATAACCTTATAGAGGGCTAAAGCAATTTTACTAATGTTAATAAGACTACATGGTATATGAAAAAACATTAAAAAAATGAAATTGACAGCCAACACAGAAAAACTAATTCTTCCTTTAAAACAGGAAGCGTAGATAATTATACATTCAACAAGAGCTTAGAGAGCAGCTTCCAAAGGAGTCCTGGAGAATGGAGGTCAAACCTGAAGAAGAATTTTTAAGTATGATTTAATTTTGCAATAATAATAATCATAGCAGTATTTAACATTTCCTGAATGCTGAATTTCTTGGTGCAATATTATGCACTTAACTGGTTTTTCCTTTGAAATCTCAAAATGACCCTTTGAGGCACCTGCTATTTGTTATTAGTATTAGTGCCAGTAGTAATGCCACTCCCATTGTACAGAGGAGAAAACTGAGGTTCACAGCATTTAAAAAACTTGATCAAGGCCTCACTGACAGGCAGCTGGGACTGGATATCTATTTATTAATTTCCTTATCTCAGTTTCATACTTTGAGAGGGAAATTTTCTGTGATAGTGACAATTTCTAAATCAAATAAGATGAACTTAAATTTCGCATTCTTTGCTTGCCTTTAAATCTCTATCTATAAAATGAGACAAAAATCCTTTTTCACGTACAGGGTTTTTAAAATTTCATTTTTGTTGTTGTATCAGTGAGAGAAAAGAAAGAGTACTTTACAAATGGAAGAGATTAATTAAAATATAAAATTAAGCTAAGAACACATAAAACACACATGGCATTTCCAAAAATAGTGATAATGGAATGCTATTTTATTTCTGCATCAGTTATCATTAAATAAAAACCTAGGGTATTATAGCAATTTGAAATAGCAGAGAAAATAGAATGATTTTAGAAGCTAATAAGAGAATTTAAAACATATTTCAAAATCCACCACCCTTTTCATTATTAAATGACAATTCTCTAGACACAAGATCTAGACTTGAATATAACTGCTGATTTATCTTAACAAGAACATTTCTCACTATTTTCACTAGCTATCAATCTTTATGCATGATTCTTTCTTACCATGAATAGGTATAGTCTGTTTTATCTGGTGAATGTTTTCTTTATTTCCTTGCTCCTCAGACTCAGATATCAGTAAGGCTGACATTTCTGTACCATTAACACACTTCTCTACAGTGGACGGCTGGCATGATCGGTTATTTTTGGACCCAACGGATCTCACTGTCTGTAAAGATAAGGAATGAATCTGTACATTTTAAAATATAACCACTACATTTGCTTTCTGTAGAAGCTACATAGACAAAATAATATTTGGACCAATGAAGAGTGAGAAAAAAAAACTAGAGAAAATGAGGTTAAGAAGTGAGGGAAAGGGAAATTATTACAGAAAATTAGAAATGGAAAGAGAAAAATAATGAGATAAAATAGAAGACATGCAAGTCTCCTAGACACATAAATTAAAATGTGCTTATTTGCTACACTCCATCTTCAGTAGGTAGAAGATGAATTAAAAATCACTGTGTATGTCAGAAATTCAGAGGAAATTAAAAATAAAAAACCTAACATTTGAGAATCTGTTCATCATAAGGTGTCTAGTTATGATCCAACTCTTTCTCTGAAGGAGATGGCAAAACATGCTCACTTATATTTGCCTTTAAATTTTGTGAACATATTTAATGAAAAGAATACTTGAAAATGTTAATTATGTTGACGTGACACAAAGGAAACTCTTTTGAAGTCTTTTAAAATCCAGAATTTCTGTTCCAAATTTATTCATGCCTTCTGCTTTTGGCATGTCATGTCGTGTCTGCCTGTCTGTCTGTCTGTCTGTCTGTCTCTCCCTCCCTCCCACTACAAGGGGAAGAAAGTCTTTCCTTACCAGGTCAATTGTACTTAGATAAACTCTTCAAACCTTGCTCCTACCTCGCTGGATATCCTCATGTTATTCCTTTTGCCAGAGAGTGGAGGTGGTCCAAGAACTTTGGATCCAAAGGCGATATGACAAACATCTTGATTTTTACTGTTCCGTGCACTACCTGTTCCTCTGTTAACGAATTGATCTGTTTTGTTAAAGGAAGGTAATAACAGTCCATTAATGGATGTAATGATCAACATCACATTGCAATCTTTCTGAAAACCCAGTCCAGTTGCCATGGGATCCAAATCCTCCCTCCCCTGTCAGCACTTATTAAAAACACAGATATGAGGGCCCAACATCAGAGATATAAGATGTATAGAATTAAAATCTTGGAGGTGTCACAATACCTTTAATAAGCTCCCCCAAGTAATTTTTATACTCGCCATCATTTGAGAACAACTACCACAAAGTGTTTCTTAAAAATAAAAAAGGAAAAGCTACTATAAAAATACATCTTATTTTCTTTTTAAGGAAATAATTTAAATAAAATTATTCAACTCAACTGAACAAATATTTAACTGAGTACTCTCTCAGGCGTTTCTTAGAGGCTGTGACACAAAATGGAGCCTGGAGACGAGGATAAGACCAGTAACAGGTCACCAACGTAAGGCAGACCATTGGGAGTGAAGAATAAGTGATCTCTTCATGGACCATGAATGACTGATACAATTTCAAGCATAAGAGAAGCAGGATGCCCTAGGCAGAAGAAAGTACTGGAGTAAAGGCATGGAAGAAGGGAAGGGCAGGGTGTGCTTGGGAGTCAGGAAGTGGCTGATTTAGCTGGAAGAAGAGGCTAGGGTCAAACTGAAAAGAGCCTTAAAATGTGAAGAGCCTATTCTAAATTTGGTAGGCAATCCCTGAAGGTTTTAGGGAGAAAGACAGCAAAACGGTGTCACCTTCAGCATAGGGCAGGTGTGCTCACCAAATCCTGCTGCCTGCCTTTCTGCACACACAGCTAAATTATGTTTCTGAGCATTCCCTGCAGTTAGTTATATGGGCCACACGACTGAATTTTTTTTTTTTTTCTTTTTGAGACAGAGGCTTGCTCTGTCACCCAGGCTGGAGTACACTGGCGTGTTCTCGGCTCACTGCAACCTCTGCCTCCTGGGTTCAAGCGATTCTCATGCCTCAACCTCCTGAGCAACTGGGACTACAGCCACAAACCACCATGTCTGGCTAATTTTTGTATTTTTAGTAGAGATGGGGTTTCACCATGTTAGCCAGGCTGGTCTCCAACTCCTGACCTCAGGTGATTAGCCCACCTCGGCCTCCCAACATGCTGGGATTACAGGTGTGAGCCACTGCGCCGGACCCATGTGACTGAATTCTGGCTAATGGACTGTGAGAAGTTTCAGCCATTTCCTGGTCCCTAAAGCCCCCAGCAGAGTGCCCCATGCTCTCTATTCCCTCACCTCCTGACAAGAAGTAGAAGATCTTATGGAGGACTTTAAGGGCTCCAGGGAAGCCACTAGATGCAGGTCCCTGAATGACCACATAAAAGGCTTCCCAAGGAACTCCTAATTGGACTACAACTGAGGGGTTCTTTGTGACTGCAATTAGCATCCTCTGACTAACAGGGCAAGTGAGAGTGATGGCCCTTAACTAGAAGGCCTTCTTCTGTGACCCACTTGTAGGACAGAACAAACTTAAATATTACAATGATGGCCACAAGTAAGTCCACATTTGCCCACCAGTCCTGGACATGTATGAGCTACTGGCCACCTCCTGTCTGACCTACTCCCTGCAAAAATTCCTATAGCTAGTTAGTTGGTCTCATTAGCCTCTGCTGTAGAGCTATAATTTTACATAATTGGGGGATTAAAAACCACTCTCATGCATTGGCATAAGAAAAGACACACAGGTTTGTGAAAATATACCATACTCAGCAAGATCCAGACATTTAGGTCTGACTGGATGTAGTGTGTGTATGTATGGGTGTGTGGATCTGTTTCATTTGTAATAAATAAATCTGAAGATATGGGCAGGGGCTAGATTGCTGAAGTGAACTGAAAGAATTTTTGCTGGACAGAAGATATGAGGTAGACGTTGAAGTGGTGAGGAGCTATATACCATATCAGTTTTCCTGAAATTCTTGAAGCCCTATTAGGTAGGAGAGAAATTCCATTTGTCTAAAAAGCAGAATCAGAACTAATGAGTAGAATTTACTTCAGGAAGCTTTGAGTCCAATATAAGGGTCATCTTTCTCTAAACATGTCTGGTTGTTGAGGTGGTAAGTTTTCTGTCTTTTTGAAGGTGCTCAAGCAGAAGTCTGGATAGCTACGCTGGATGCTGTCAGGCAGTTTCAGACATCAGGTGACTCCCTAATTTATATCTCTTAGCCTAGGCCTCTCTTCTGAGCTCCATTCCTTACATCCAGTAGCCTCTTTACCAGCTCCTCTTCAGTGTCTCAAAGGCACTTCAAACTGGAAACATGGTCTAATGAATGGAATCACAATCCAAATGGTTTGAAAAGTCAGAGCCCAGGTGTCATACTTGACACCTTCCCCCAGTCTCTCCATATCTAATCCATGTCTGCTTCCTTCCATCTCCTCCACCAGCACTGACATCCAAGCAAGACATCATCCTCCTTCTTTTGGATGATGACAAAGCCTGTCACGTGACTTCCTGTGTGCACTCTGGTGTCCCATACCATCCCTCTTCCAAAATGCAGACAGAGAGGTTTTATATAAACATAAATCTAATTGAGTCATTCTCTTTCCTTCACTTAAAGTTCTTGAATGACATCCCTGCTGCTCTCAGGAGTAAGACGAAAAGCTCTTAACATTGCCCACAAAACCCTGCATGTTCTGACATGTCTTAGTGTCTTATACCTTACATTTTCTGCTCTCTTGGCAGATGGGCCTTCTCAGTTCTGCCTGCCAGACGGTTTGTGCATGCTGTTCCTGCATGAAGGCTTTTCCTTTCCTTCTTGGCCTTTATGCCTCAGCTCGCATATCACTTCCTCAGACAAGTCTTTGCAGACCTTCCTGATTAAGGTAAGTTCCTCTAATATAGGCCCTTCCATAAACTTTCCCTCATAGAACTTGTCAGAATTGAACTTTTACACGTGTCCATGGGATTCTCTAATGTGTGATTCAGTAGATATAAACTCAGTGACTTGCTTTTGTCACCCTGAACTGCCAGCACCTAGCCCAGCACTTGACACAGAATAGGCACATAATAGTTCCTTGCTGAGCAAAATCAATGAATTGTTAAATGAAATGAGTCAGAAGGGAAGTTGGATGAAATGACTCAAATATGTCTAACTAAGGTTTGAATTTCATTTTAAGAGAAATCTACCTGGGAGTTTTATGTGTGAATCAAAAAGGAAGACCGGACAGGTCTAGGCAACTCCAGGATGTGAGGGATGAGAGAGAAGGGATAACAATGAACAAGACGCTGATGTTCACATAAATGAAGCTCTCAACAGCTGCAGTGCTACGGCACCACAGTCAGCTGCTATTCGGACTGCACATGAAATTTCCTAGTGTCACCACATAGACTTGGCTATGTGTGTATCTGTATTTTTTTTTTTTTTTTAACCAGCCATTTATAGATATCCCATCGGAGTCAATAAAAGTTAGTCTCTCACAATTGACAATAGGAAGAAATGACACTCACATTCCAGACCAATTGGAAAAATCTATTATAGTCAATATTTCTGCCTTTTGTGACTAAGTAGAACAAATTCTAGGCTATTTCTCAAATGTTAATTTTGTCAGAGAAAAATGGCTGCTGAGTACTGAGGGGCTACCTGGGACATGGTGTGGGCCTGGGAAGGAGTTCTGTACCAGCACAGGGCCTTTCTTCTCTCTTCCAATCCTGGGAACTCAATGTTCAAAAAAGGGCCTATTTTTCTGTTCAAATATTTTACAAGAAAAATTTCCTGAAGTTTTATCATATTCTTTATCTATAAGCAAGTTTCCCCTCAATTAATGTAAGTTCTTTATAGAAAGACCATAAATTTGGCACTGTATATACCTCCATCAGCTGAGCCCAGCTTAGCACACTGTAGGCAATGGATAAATCTCACCAAAATTATGGAAAAATAAAAATTAAATAGAACTTTTGTGGGGAGGGAGTATATTAGAAATCATACTGACACAGTTCCAACTAAAATTTGACAAAATGAACACATTAATCAGTTCATAGTTATTAACAAAATTAAAACTCCTAAATACTTCAAATTTCTTAGAGGAATCTCTTGCTTAGTAGTGGACACCCAGAGTCTATTAAAGATACACCCACACCTGATACGTTATCATCCCCTAAATCACAGAAAACAGACATTCTATATTTCATAATCCTATCTACTATGGAATTTCTTTAAAGAGTAATCTACCACAGCATATTTAATGTTTATTTTTAAAAATTTTGCACATTTTGGTACATTTTATTTTCCACAAAGTATACCAATATTCCACTATTTAGTGTCTCTTTAATAAATAGACCTCGTTAAACTTGTTATTATAATGAACACACCAATTCTTAAATCCTGCTTCACTTTTAAGAAATCTGTGTATAATCATATTGTCGCAATTACCTCTACAAATATGTACTGTGCTATGCATCTATCATAATCGGGTCCTAATTAACATCTACTAAGAAAAGTAATTTAGAACTTTGGTTTCTAAAATAAAAAGTGGAAGAGACGAAGTTTCCATAATGAGAAAAATCTTAATAAAAGAAAACTACAAACAGAAACGCATGCTTTTGAATTCTAAGAGGAGTTCTTTTAAGAGCTTATATCAATATGCATATGAGGTTAAAAATCAAGATTAGATTAAAGTCATGCTCTAGGCATTTCATTTTCTTGAGTTTGCAGAAAATGAACTTGGTGTAGGTCAGAGATGTTACCATTAATTATTTTGCTATTTTACTGAGAGGTACATGCCTTTGTAGTTAGATTGTAAAACCTGAGGGTCTACTCTCTAATTGTCTTTTAGAAAAATAAATATTCATTTTTGTCTCAAGATACGGTGTTCTAATTATTATCGTCATTTAAGTTTGCACAGTTTTCAAGGCTTAACCAGAAAAACCTGCTGAATCTTTAACTCTAATCACTGAGGGGTCATGCTCAGGACTTACATCTATTATTAACAATCAAATCGGAATTAAAGCTGGTACCAAAAGTCCAGACTT